GGGTTCATAAAGAATGGCTTCATATGGAACACTGTCTTGACACTTTTCCCAAGGAAGTTTCAGATAGGTGACACAAAAACAGTCACTATGTCTCCATGACCCCAAACTCATTCTGTGCCTAAGCAAAAAGATTCTCTCATGTAAAACAAATTTGTGCAGAAACAATAACAAAAAAGAAAAGAAGAAATGAAACAATTCTGGCCTGATATCCTGCAAAGGGGTAGGTAGGGACAGAGACACACGCAGGTCTATGAATTTAAGAGGTTGTGGCTAAACATACTGTCTTCAAACTTAATAACTAGTCACCATAATGATGAGTTCATCTAAAATAATATTTTATCAGTCGAGGTAAAAAAATGCATGATGTCACTTCAAATTTTTTTAAATACATATAGGTAATATATCCCTCATTTGAAATGTGTAGGGCCGGAAGTGTTTCAAATTTAGGACTTTTTTTTTCAGATTTTTGGAATATGTGCATATGCATAATAATGCACATAACTTGGGGAGTCAGACCCATATATAAATGTGAAATCCATTTGTGTCTCATATACACCTTGCACACATAGCCTGAGGGTAGCTTAATACAATATTTTTAGTGCATCTGTGTTTTGAATGTGATCCATCACATGAAGTTAGGTGTGGAATTTTCCACATCGACTCTCAAAAAGTTTCAGATTTTGCAGCATTTTGATGAGGCCTGTTCATTTGCATATATGTTTTAGCAAGTGGAGAAAAACTGGCAGTTTGCCGTTGAGTGATCAAACAACGGTTGATTGTTTATCTTCAGGGCATCCCAAACTTTCAAAGAGGAGCCCATTATGTTTATAATTAGATTAAAAGTTCAATACCACCTGCATTTTATATTCAACCTGGTCCAATGAAACTACATGGAGGTAACCGGAGAAGGCTTTAAAGAAAGACTCTATGTTCAATCAGGGCAAAGAAATCCCAGGTGACATGGAAAGTCAACATAATGCAAAAGGAAAAAAAGAGAAGAGGGAGAGAAGAAAGGCTTTTCCCCTGGCAGGCAGGTCTCTCTTCTACAAACCGTAGCCTTCAAACAAAAACCACAATCCTACCCCACAGCACAAAAGGAGGTGGGAGGTTCAGCACAGAGGCAGCCCGGAGGCCTCCACCTCCCCCCCCCACCTTGCTCCATCAAAGCCGGGCCTGCTGCAGGTATGCAAGACATTTTAATGTAAGGAAAAGAGTGCAGAAACCACAGGTATGTGCCTCCAATCGCACTGCCTTGGGGAGTGGTTCACATCTATATGGTACCTGTCCTGAGGACAGGTTCTTCAAGTCCGAGGCTAAAAGGGGCCAGCCTTCCTCAGCATCCAGGGCACACTCTGCCTGACACCTCAGGGGCCGCAAATTGAGGCCGCGGTAAGAGCTCCTTTCTGCTACCAGATCAGCTAAAACTGGGTCTAGGTCTCAGGGGAACTCAGACTCCAGGAAGGCAAGGAAGTGTCCCCACCGACAGAGCCAGAGTCACTGGCGAGACATTCTTGGCAAGGCTTGAAGTCACCTTCCTGGAAACTGGCGACAGGGGTCTGTTTCTAGACTCCTAGACGTCACATGCATTCAGGCAGCGAAGACTTTAAGGAGACTCTACCGTGTGTCAGGCACTGGGTAAAACATCAGGATGAGAACGGAGCTTGAAATGTGGTGCCTGCCTCAAAAAGTATTCTTAATAAAGATTATTAACTCAGAGGGTCAAAGACTCCTAAAGAAAACTGCCTGACAAGACCCATTTCTCTAAACCCTCCACTAATTGATGGCTGATTGCTCAAATTCATGAATTACTCAAGCTTATGAATTAGAAAAGTACAAAAGACAATGGCCCCAGATTAGAACAGGAGGGAAAGACAGTCAGGCCCCTGACAGCTGTCTTCTTTTATGATCCTCTCCCCTTCACACCCTCCAGCCACTAGTGAAGCCTGAAGTCCATTTCTTTTGGAACACTATTTTTCTAATCACATCTAGAACTCCTGCCAGAGGGCTCCAAATTTTTAGCAAGACAATCTGTACCATGCTGTGGTCCCTACTGCCTCTCCCAGAGTGACCTGGAGAAACCGAAATTGCAAAGCCAGGCTACCAGTATCAGCTATCCTCATCCTAAGATTCTTCAGAGATGCAAAAATCAAGTCACATTTAAAGAAATTCAAGGCAGGCACAGTGGCACGCGTATATAATCCCAGGCACTAGGGAGGCTGAGGTAGGAGGATGGCCAGTTGGAGGCCAGCCTGAGCAACTTAGCCAGACTCTGTCTCAAAATAAAATAAAAAGGGCCAGGGATGTAGGTCGGTGACAGAGCCCTTGCCTAGCATGCAGGAAGTCCTGGGTTCAATCCCCAGCACCACAAAACTCAAAGCCATAGGAAAAAAGATGTAGCACAGGTTGTCATCAAAAGTATACTCTAACAAAATGAAACCCCCCCCCCAAAAAAAAATGTTTTAAATGGATTCCAAACCATTTTTGCATTTGGCATGCCCCAGGTAATAATAAACTGTTGATGCAGAATTTTTTGCTGAACTACATGTAATTTCAGACAAGGAAGACCTTTCAAATTAACTGTCTATAGTTTCTCATTCAAAAGAATGTTTTGAAAGTCGTATTTGCTGTGCACCAGGGGGAAATAGCTGAAAAGCATCCTCATAGAAATTTGAATTTTAAAAATGCCAAATAAATACATAGATAAACAAACGTTATTTCTTGTGTGGAAAGGGGACCAGAAAGCGAAGCAAAGGGCAGGGCAGATCAAAGAGAGAGGATCCTGACCAGCTCAAGCTTAGTAAAGGCTGTGCTGCTAGTTCCAACAGGCTAGACGGAAAAGAGCTCCATCTACTTCCAAGTCGACTAAATATTCTGACTAGAGCTGGAAATTTTAGCAAAGAGCCAATTACAAGTTGAAAGTTTCTTCCCACTATCTTTAGCTACAAAGTTATGTCCCAATTCTCTCAGGGGATCTGTGAAAACGGATTTTGGCTGGACAATTCACAGGTACAGAGAAGCTAATGTGCACTCTGCTGGGGGCTGACACTGATCCCTGTTGAGGCATTTCTGCAGAGAATTCCCTGGCATGCTCAATTCCAGCGAAACTTGAATGGGCCTGAACACATTTCTCGAGTCTAGACCAAATCATCAGGCCCTTTGTAGTTCTCCATTATATCGGCACACCGCTCTGTCCTCTAACCCTCTGGGGAGAGTCTGGCCTGGTCTCCAGCAGCCCCAGAAGTTTGGCACTATCTGATGCCCGCTGCAACCGCGGCCTGGCTAGGGGAATGTGAGCAAGGTCCATTTTTAAATTCCCTTAGAAGTTTCACAACCACAGGTTTGGGTGAGGAGACAAACGCCCGCTCTAGTTTGCTGACATTAAACTAAAAATACCCAGCTGCAAACAAAAGCCATCTTTTACAAGGGCTGGCTCGGGTGTTCTGAGGTTCCATAGGGTAGTGTGGGACCATATCCCTGGCAGCCAGGCTGCCTTAAAGACTGGTCCAGGCCCAGCAGGGCAGTGGGGCCCTCTGTGCCCTCGCTGTCAAGGAATCCCAGAGCCGGCAGCCCTGCCTGTGATGCAGAGAACAGCTTTATTCCTCTGCCCTCCACCAAGGCGCAGGCTTGATGAATTCGGGGCTGCGTCTGCTGCAAGTGTTAGATACACACTGAGGGGAGAAGGGGGGGTGCAAAATGAAAACCACCAACCCCATTTCCCTGGAAGGAAATGTGTTTCCATCTCCCTACTCCTTGCAATTCGAACAGCAAATCATCGTTGTGACTACACGGGGAAAGGCAACTCTGAGACATTAAAAATGCATTTCAGAGCCAAGGTGGCCTGGCAGGGATCTGTTAAGAGGTGACAAATGAGGAGGTGGTGTGGGGACTAAGGCTTGGCGGGGAGAGACTCATAACCCCAGGTGGCTTCTGGGAAGGTTCTACCTGTTGGAGCCCAGCAGCAAAGTCCTGGGCCACAGCGCCCGGAGGGCGCCCACCCACCTCCCCCTGGTCTCAAACTTTCCTTCCGGCCCCTCCGAAGCAGCAGCGAGCCCCGTTCGTCCCTGTCCTAGTCTAGATTTCAGATCTGGAACTTTGCCTATGCCAGGGGGGAGAACCGAGAAAAGGGTCTTTCCCCCACACACACACACCAAGGAGGGGACTCCTATGCTTGGAACCCAGGAAGAAGGAGATGCAACCTGACGATCCGCCCAAAACCTGGCCAAAGTTTCCTCCAAAACTGTGGCCAAGGCGTGACCCAAGAGCTCTGGGTCCCCAGTTCAGGGTCTGGGGGTAGGTTGGGGGTGTAGTAAGGGTGGGCCAGGACCCAGGGTACTGGCCGCAAGATCAACGCGGAGCAGGACCCTCGGGTGTTTTGCAAAAGGCCGGTGCCTGATGGAGGGCAGCTCCAGGAACCCAGCCTCTCCCCGCGACCTGCGCAGCGCTGCCGAGCCCTGGACACGTGGGAGCTGAGCCTGGGGCTGCCTAGTTCGCTGCAGGGACTCGCAACCTCGCCGGGGCTCGCTCCGTTCGCCCCCAGGGCCCCCAACCAGGAAGAGGCAGCGCGCCCGGCTCAGAGCGGCCAGCTCCGGGCGCCTTTTCATCCTCAGATCTCGGCAGGATCAGGGACCGAGTTTTTTCCTTTTCAAACTAGCCCCCACCCCTGGCAGCTCCCCCACAACCTCTACCTTTCCCTGCTACCTCGCAGACAGGCAAGAGACACAAAGAAAAAGAAAAGAAAGAAGGAGGGGGAAACCTCTACCACCCTTCCTGGTCCCATCCTCCAGTCTGGGGCTGGGATGAAGAAGAGAAAGAATCACACCTTCTCTCCTCCTCCCCATCCTAATTCGGTGACCCGGGCGGATCCCGGCAGCAGGATCCCCGAAGAAGAGGCCGAGGGGAAAGAGGTAAGGTTGGAAGAGGCAGAAACCAGGCGAGGCGAGCTAGCGAGAGCGCGAGAGAGAAGAAAATATCCAACAAAACCACGCTAACGCGCCCCCTACCTGGGTGCAACATACTTTGGAAATAGAAGATGACCAGGATAAAGGATCCCAAGCAAGTGGCCAGCACCATCCGGCAAATTCTGTTCATCCTCATCACTTCCAGCAGCGCCGGCTTCATGGCTTTTGTCCTGGCTGCAGGGACCGGGGAGTCCGGGAGGCGCGCCCGGGGCGCAGGAGTGGGGACCCCGCCGCGCGGACCGGAGCCCGGGAGGCGCAGGGCAGGGCTGGGCAGCGATCAGGGGAAGGATCGGGTGGCTTCGCGGCGGTTCTCGGAGCCCCCAGCCCGGGGCCGGGGTGTGGAAGGCGCCGGAGTTGGTCTGGAAGTGCCGAGATGCGTGGACCAGCGTCCGCGCGCCCCTGCTGCTGCTCCTCCCCGCCTCTCCGCGCGCTCCGCCGCCTCCTCCGCTCGCTCCGGCGGTCGCCGCTGCCTCCTCGCGGGCCGGGCGGCTGGGGTGCGAGCGGCGATGGTGCTGCCGCCGCTGCTACCGCTGCGCTGCACTGGCCGCTGTGGCTGTCGGACGGCCCCCTCCCTCCTCTCCAAAGGCTACTTCATTGCGCTCCAATGATCTATATATTCCGAGGCTGGGTTTTACCAAATGCAACTCGCAGCCCCCGGCGAGGGGAGGGAGCCTGCGGAGCGGCGAGGAGGGCGGGGCCGCGCCGGGGCGGAGCGTCGCCTCCCCCCGCCCCTGCCCGGGACATGGTCGCGTCCAGCTGTTTCCCGGGGAGTACGGAGTGCGCCGCGCTCCCGCAGGGTCCCAAAAGCCCTCAGTCCCCGGCCGAGCTCGGCCGCCGTCTGGAGGTTGTGTCAGCGTTTCCATGACAAAACCCGGAGGAAAAAAATACGAATAAAATCGCCTCGGTGCTGCCACCCACCCCCGCCAGCGTTTGGAGAGGGAAGTGGCAGCGAGCGGGTTGGGCGTCTGAGGGGGAAGGGGGGCTTCTGGTGGCACGCAATTATTTAAATCCCTGAACGACGTAGCGAGCAAATTGCCCCAAACCCCCCCGGGAGCGAGTGCCCTTTTGGAGACGATCAAACCTCGGCGGTTTCGTTTTTCTTTCAAACGACAGCCCAGCTGGAGCGTTGTTTTGGAAAGAGGTTCAAGAGGGCTGACTTAAAGTCAAGGTTAGGGAAACCGCAGGGGGGGTGGGGGGGCAGGCGACCATTGAGTTTTCCCTGGGACTTTGCAGCCTCTGACACCCTCACCCCAGCCCCTCAAGGCAAAAGGGGTTAGTGGATTTTAAAACGGTTTTCCCAAAGGGTAGAGCTGTCTCCAAATTATCCAAAGTGCACAAAAATCTTATGGGATGGATGTGAGAAGATGCCCCTAGGCTGAAGCCACCCTCATCCCCGTCCAACAAACTGTTGAAAAAACCCAAGCCAGCCCTAGCACTGGCAGGTAAATGGAAAGATGGTGATGCTTTCTTGTATAAAGTGATTGGAAATGTTCAGTTCCATGCATTTAGGTTGTTTGGCAATCAATAGAGGGAAACCAAGCAAATGGTGCCGAGATCACTTTTACACCAGGAAAAAAAAAAAAGCTGTTATTATGAAAACTAATTTCAGTGCCTTATTATCAAGTCATTATTGATAGTACTGTTAATAATAATATAAGACAAAGTGTCTTTCAATGACTATCACAAAAATAGACATTTGGTACTTTCTTATTGAATCTGAATGTAAATTAAGGCCTTATTCCCCCCCACACCCCACCTTGATTTGACAGAGACCCAACTTGCAGTCTGGTACACACAGGGAAAAAAAAGACTCCGAGACCTCAGTTCCCTTCCCCCAGAGTCCTTCTCCAGCCGTCAGAAGTAACAAAGTCAGCAGCCTTGCCTTTGATTAGGGAAGACAGTCAATTACAGCACAATATTTATGTAGCCAGTTTGTACTGTATTAATTTGTACTCACTTGTGAATGAGTTGCTTGCTAAAGGCTGCCGAGCTGAACAAGCTCCAGGAAAAGTCACTCTCCAGTGATTCCCCCAAAGGAGGGTGGAGATGGGAGCTACACCTACCTCCATCACCCTTGCAAGGGCACGGCTGGGTGAGCACGTGCAGGAAGACTTAACCCGAAATGCCAGGTTTAACTTCTGGTTTGACAGAGCAGAGGGGGAGGGGGGCTGCCAGGTCACTCAGGTGGCCTTTCACTTCCCAGGGCATGAGACTACAGTGGCAGGCATACAGCGCCTAGACACGCAGGTCACAGGGCCAAGGGAGAGGTCAGAGTGGAAGTCCTGTGCAGAGTGGAGGGTTATGCTGGCCCTTGCTCAGAGAAGATGGGGGGCCACTGGCAGAATCCGTTTTTGCAATCTCACAATCTAGAATTGGCCCTTACCTACAGGGAAGGGAAGGCTCTTCCAAAAGCCTCCTCTGATTTCTAACCTGAAATGGCCTCTTTCCTCCTCTGGGTTGTGAGCACTAGTCCAAACTCCTCTCGGGCCACTACTGCACCCATTGTGCTGAGCTCTTTTCTGAGGGCCAGTTTTTCTTCCTCTCTCTGTGTCTCTAACACCCAGCATAATGACTGGCTTATGGTGGGCAGAAAAAAATCAGAGATGGAGAGGCAATGCCCTCTTGGGCTAGAAAGGTCAGTTAGACCACCTCTGAAGGGTATAATGGCCATTGATAGTGACCTGGGACCCTATTGTCCTTGGCCCATTCAGAGGAAGAGGGAAAAGTTTCTTATCTCCCTCCTGGAGACTGGCCAGTTAGAAGCAAGGTCATCTCTTTGTTTCCATGGCTAGGCTAACAAAACTTTATTACACCTTTTATTCATGCCACCTAATAAATATGGACAAGATAAAGGACAGTGTGAGCTAATAAGACTGAGCAGAAAAGAGATGTTTATATTCTGAACACTGAGGAGATGTAAGGGTCTCTAAATCAGGCTTTTTGTTTTCCCTAAGCACTGCTCAGGACAGGCAAAGTCAAGGCTGTCGTAACAAGCCCCAATTTCAGTGGCCTAAAGCACCCACGTGTGGTCTCCTTCCACAATGTGTCCACTGTGGGTGGCCAAGGGGTGGCAGATGAGGCATTCTTCACAGGTATGTGTCCACTGTGGGTGGCCAAGGGGTGGCAGATGAGGCATCCTTCACAGACGCCGGTTGCAATGCTAGTGGCAAAGCAGGTGCTAGGAGGTCTCACCCAAACCCATGATCCTTCCCTCACGAGGTGCATGTGGTCTCTGCTCAGCCAGGACCTATCCCAGGGCTGCTCAGCTCCCAAACTCCACCAGGAAACACAGTGCTGTCATGAGTGTGAAGTCCTTGGGCAGTAGCGTCTCTGACTGCATCCCCTGCTTTAAGTCCTCAAATTCCATTTTCTTTGCCCTGAGAGCTTCTGCAACCCACGCTGGGCTCACGGTGGGTGCTGGCTTGATCAGTTCACTCTCCAAAGCCAACACCATGCCAAAGAAGCTGGGGCCTGCCTAAGTCAAGGCTGGAGTGGCCCTGAAAAGTGTGTGGAAGAGAGAGGCCTATGATGTGGATGATCTTCTCAATCTGTAAATACGAGGGGAAGAAATAGATGGAAAAATCAGAATTCCAGCTCATGGGCCGTCAGCAGTGGAAGGACAGATATTTACAGAGCCCCTTGGATCCCTGCAGGCTGAACTTGACCTCCTCCCTGTAGACTACACCTACAATGTACCGTCTTGTTAAGATCCTGCAAAATTGGCAGCGACGCCCCTTCCTGAGCTTCGTATGAGAGAGAAATGGGCCCAGGGCTCTTGGTGGACAGAGAGCTCTCTAGCATCCTTGGGGAGGAGGGGGGGGGGGCACATCTTGTGCCAACATCAGCCAGGGGCCCCTCGCCGGCTCCTCTGAGGACTGGCTGGGTCCATTTGCATCTCTGTGACACCTCTAGCACAAAGTACACTCAGTTAACCAGAGCACAGTCAATATTTGTGGAGTTGAATTAAAAACCATTTGCCTACAGCATGCGGAGATCCTGGGCACAGATTTTCTCCAGGTAGGTAAACCGCAGATACACAGTGGGACACTCATGACATGGCCCTGAGAGCAGGCCTTTCAGAACAGGCAGGGGAGGAAGGGATAGAAACAGGGGCAGAGAGAGGGGGGAAGGGAAAAGAAAGGGAGAGGGAGATGCAGGGGAGAGGGAAGCCAGGCGAGGAAGGGAACGGAGGGGCAGCTGGAGGGAGGAGGAGGCAGCAAATCCTTATTGGTCCTCCTTTTCCGATGCTGCCTTCTCTCCTCCCCTGTGCAAGCCCCCAGAGTCCCCTTGCCCTCCGTGGCTGAGGACAGAGTCTGTTGGGCCCCAGGCCCTGCCCAGCTGCCCCATGTCCACACACAGCCCAGAAACCAGGTCCCCAGCTGCTCGCCCTCCCAGATGCTCTGAAGTCGGCCCTGGTCAGCCCCTAAACTCTGGCTCGAGACTCCAGAGCTCTCTGGGTCCCGTCTGATGACCTCAGACCCTGCCCACCCCAGTGCCCCCTCTCTCGGTGCCATCCTAGTGGGTGCCACCTCTGTCCCGTCAGGGCGTGACATCTCCCCTCGCCACTGGCCTCCTGGTGGAGGCCATCCTTGTCCTCCTGTACAGGAAACGGAGGTAAAGAAAGGCGGTGACGTCACCGTCCAGGAAGCACTCTGCTGGGGTTGGCCTACCCAAAGTCCCAAAGCCAGGCGCCAGGCAGTGGCTCCTGCTCTCCACCTCCTGCCAGACTGTCTGCTGGTGGGCACCGACAGACCAGTGGGTCCCTGAGGCAGGTCACCTCGCCTCTCTGAGCCCCACTTTCTGCACCTATAAAACGAACACGGTCAGAGCTGCCTCCTGGACACCAGGGAGGGTGACGTGGCACTTGGTGGCTGTCCGGTGCTCTCGTTGTGTTTCCTTCTTTCCACGCTGCCACACCCTGGGCCCTCTGACCAGCCCCCTGCCTGAGTACCTTTCCAGGACCCTGGCTGCCCCCACGGCTCCTCCTGGACACTGGCATCTTGGAGCGCACTGTGACCTTCCTGGCACAGCGTTCACTGGCATTTGTCGTCCTCCTCCACTCTCCCTCCATTCTGGGCAGCTGGGTGCCACCTTGCCTGAGGGATTCCAAAATGGCTTTTGGGGACAAACATTTTAAACTACAGAAGAGACCATACCAGGGAAAGGACACGGGCTCTGGGGAGGGAGGCGCCGGTGTCTTCTTGCCCTTTGCCCTGGAAAGCAGATATTGCTCTGTGGGTCCCAGCCTCCCCTGGCACAGTGACCCTGGTGCCACCAGAGATTCCAGTTTCTTAAACATAGTACAAAAGTTGCAGAACCACTGACCTGAGACAGCTTTCACGACAGAGATAACTAGACGCCTTGGGGTGTGACCATGTGACTGACACAAGACCAAGACGGCCTCCCATGACCCAGTCGGTGCCAGGGCCAAAGTGAGGCTCTGAGAACCCCTGAGTACCTGAAGTCTTGTGATGCTGCACCCCATATGTACTTCAAAGGATAAATAATACAAAAACAGGAAGTTCATATCTAAAACGCCAATGAAGGTCAGAATGTTTTTCTTCTTTTTGGGGTACTGGGGACTGAACTGAGGGGTGCTTTACCACTAAGCTATACCTCCATTCTATTTTTTTTGTTTCAAGACAGGATCTTGCCAAGTGACCAAGGTTGGCCTCCAACTTGCGATCCTCCTGCCTCAGCCTCC